TGTATGTATGTATGTATGTCTGTTTGATCTTAATATGTCCGTACACGCATACAAGTACGTCTGTAGGTAAGTAAGTATGCATGCATGCTTGTATGTGTGCTGAAGCCCCAAACTCTCGGAGTACGCACTGATGAGAGAGGTGTTCGGCGCTTGGTTTCCGCCTCTGTCATTTGTTGCGAAATAGACTCGGGCTTTTTTGGGCTTTATCGGCTTTTTCGGGCTTTATCAACATTCTACAGGGTAGTGCTGGGCTGGGCAAGGGTCTGCAGTGTTTGGGGTTTGGGTCCCGAATGCAGTGTTCAGAGTTTGGCTGCCCGTACTGCCGGGTCAGAAGTTGCACAGAGGGGACCCGCATATTCCACCTAGGGTTCCCTCCGACCAGTTCGCCTTCGTGTTGGATAGGTCTATGTTGGTACTAAGACGGGCATGAAGCGGTCAACTGTGAGCAGCAGCCCTAAATCTGTGTGACTCAGTAGGTTTACTCTGCCTCCTCCTTTTCTGCAAGGCGTGTATCTTTTCCGTCGAACGGTACTAGAGACCACGGGAGACTGGCCAACGCCGGAAGTGAAAACCTCTGGCCTAGAAGCCTAGGACCTGAAGCCCCAAAGCCGGAAGAATAGGGTTTTGGGGTATGTTACACTATGATTTATAATAAGGAACCCCCCCAAGAATAGTATAGGTCCGAAGAATTGAAGCTTCCTCTCTCGCCCTCAAGGTCCGCCGGACAAGGGATCGAAGCGGAAAGAATGAGAAGAAAAGCCCCGATGTGTGCTTGGGTTAGGGATCGGGGATCACTACGACGACTACTGCAACGTCTTCGCACAACTCGCTGTATTACTTGCTAGGTAGACTGCCACGTCACTGTGTACAGATGTAAGGTGACCTAAACTTCGAAAACATCGCACCCTACTAGCTTGTACTACCTCCACTTATTACTCAATACTAAGATACGATCACTGCAAAACAAGGATCGATAATTTTCGAAGAGAAAGGGAAGATTTTGAACCCTCAGCCCTGACATGCAATTGGAGTCTTCTAAAGCCTTAATCACCATTTTTATGCCCTTGCCATGCTCCTTCTCTGCAGGCCCGACGAGACTGACAGACACTCGTATGGGAATTTTAGAAGCTGAGGGATCGAAGTTCCGCCCTTCAATACCAACATCATGGTTCAGGACTGTGAACAAGAACCCCCCAATGTAGGAGCCTAAATAATTAGCTATGTGTCATATACCCCAGAACCTTATTCTAATTATTAAGACCCCTACATAAGTTTGAAACATCCCCTGTGGCTGCATTGTGCTGCATGGTTCAGGGCCTGGCTCAGGAGCGTGTCCA